CAGGCCCTCCAAGCTTGACACTGAAGGAGTCCCAGTAAAAGAAAATCTTGGTGGAGCTGGTTTGCCTACCCATTAGGCTTCCAACTCTGATCCTAGGGATTCACTTCCTTTTATGGAGATAAATACTCTCACAATGACCTTTTCTTACATTGGTAGACTGGCTCAATTATAACAGAAGACTTTCCCCTTAGTACTCTGCAGCAAAGCTAAAAAAGGGCTGGAAGCCATAAACACGATTTTGGGAACCACAGGAGAAAACAAAATGGAAACAAACACAGAAAGGACCTGAAACTAAATAATATGATTTACAAAATAAAGTTTATTCATCTTGAATTTGCAAACCACTGCAGAGATTATGATTTTCTCTCACTACTAGATTACTTGTTTTGAATGACTGTTTTCAGCACACTGCCATATATTTTCAACAGTTTTTTTGCTTCCAGACACACTTTAAAGCTACAAAGTGCTTTAACCTATCTTGCTAGAACCTTATCTTCTTTTTTCATATAACTAAAAAAAAATATTTACTTTTGGCTGTGCTGAGTCTTCGCTGCTTTGTGAGGGCTTTCTTTAGTTGTGGTGAGTGGGGGCTACTTGAGTTGCACTGTGTGGCTTCTCAGTGTGGTGGCTTCTCTTGTTGTGGAGCACAGGCTCTAGATGCACGGTCTTCAGTAGTTGCAGAATGCAGACTCAGCAATTGCACCTCGCAGGCTCTAGAGCCCAGGCTCAGTTATAGCATATGGGATTAGTTGCTCTGCAGCATGTGGAATCTTCCTGGACCAGGGATCAAACTCATGTCCCCTGCATTGGCAGGCAGATTCTTATCCACTGCACCAACAGGGAAGTCCTAGGACCTTATCTTCCACTAGTCCTCAATGTGAGTTCCTTGTTTCACTGACATTCCTCCTCAAAGACTTCAGAATATGTCACTTGTTTTGCCTCTAAGCTCAAACCATTCTTCAAAATCCATTCCAGCTACTCGAATTGTTTTTTTTTTCCTCAGGACTTTGTGGTTTCAAGGACCAAAAATTCAATTAAATTAGCTCAAGTAAAAGGTTTTCTTAAGAGTAATATATGTGATTTCTCAGAAATAGTCATCAAAGTACACGAGCCTTGTATCAGTTGTGAATATTTGAGACTTAAGCAATAATTTTCCCTTACATCAGAAAATATCTGGAGGTAGCCAAGTTGCTGGTTGTTTTAGTAGCTCAAGATTAAAAAGACCTGGGTTTCTCTTCTTCACCTTTCCCTCATGATCACAACATGGCTGCTGTAACTCAAATACTGTTCAAGGAAAGCAGAAAGAGGAGGGAAGGAAAACCAGTGTTTTTCTTTGGTCAAGAAGTAAAAATTTTCACAGAAATCTTCCAGTAGACCTCTGCTTACATTACATTTACAATAACTCTGGCACACAGCTGCTCATAAAGGCAATGAAATGACAAGCCACATATTGGAAGGAAAAATTTATAACACAAAGAATTGCTATCAAGAATATACAAAGAACTTCTATAGTTTGATAAAAATAAGAAAAACAATCTAATAGAAAAATAGGCAAAAACATGATTATGTAATTGGCAGAAGAGGAAATATTTTTGGTAAATAAATTTAGGAAAAGGTGCCCAACCACATTAGTGATCATGGAAATGTAAACTAAGACTAAATTGAAATAGACACTGCATCTATTAAATTACCAAAAATTAAGAACTCTCAAAATTTTAAGTGTTGATGTAAATATGGAGTCGTATCTACCACTGGTGAGGGGTAGGTAAGATGGTATACTGCTTAGTAATACAATTTTGGATTTTCTAGTGAAGTTGGATGCTTGTATACACCATGAAAGTAGTTCCACAGCTTTCCACAAAGGAGACATGTACGTGAACGTTCACAGCAGCATTATTTGTAATAGCAAGATTGGCAATAACCCAGGTGGCCATTGTCAGAGAATGAATAAAATGATATACATTTATATGATATCCACCTGCAATGATTGCAGCAACATCAATGGGTATAAGAAATGAGTGAAAAAAATCAAGGGCAGAAGACTACATATATGGCATATATTTTTCAAAGATAAAATACAAGATGGCTAAACAATGCATATTTTCAGTGACATGTACACATGTGGCCATGTGTTTTTCCACATGGAAAAAACAAAGAACAAGATAAACATAAAATTCAGGATAGTGGTTACCTCCTCTGAAGTAGAGTACAACAGAGGGACTGAACACATAGGTAGATTCAGTGATACCACAATGCTCTAGGCACTGAGTAGTGGATTCCCAGTCGTCCACTATTATGTTTTATAACTTACTTATAGATATATTTATGTATCAAACATTACATAATAAAAATTTTAATAACAAATAATTTTGACAATAAATACAAAAAGGATTATAGCAGACTGTAAAGTTTTTTGGATGAGGGAGACACATGTACTAGGGAACAAGACATTTACATTTTTAATTGTTTTAGTTTCACAAAACTTCTTGAATATAATAAAAACTATATTTGATTCAGTCCAAGTAGGGAGAAAGGACATAATTACATACAAATACCCTAAGGGAATTTATTCACTAAATTTTTTAAGGTGATTATCATCCACTTTGCAGAAACTTTATAAAATAAAAAGAAGTATTGTTGGAACAGACAGGAGACTTACCAATAACACTATGTTAAAGAATAGTGCAAGAAAAGGAGTGGGGACAGAAGTGAGAATACACAAACATTAAAGAGAAATTGAAATGGACGGTGCAGATTACAGTCTCCTTTTCAAAATGCTTAGTAATACAAGAAGAGAGGAAATTAGTTTCTCATTTCTTCAGAGATTCTTCAGGACTATTCTCCCCAAGTGCACTCTACTTTGCTTTTATATTTGATACCTGTATTACACAAAGAAAAATATAGATTCCAGGACAAATTTTTGTTAAACATTTAAGAAAATCTCTAAGGTTTCATGTCCAATCCAGGGGCACACTAGAATCTACCCCCAAAGGGGTGTTAATGATGTCACTATATAAAAATTGTCTCCTTTTTATTATTTTCACTATCATTTCAAGGTTATTTAACTCATTCTCAATTCCAGTGATCATACTAGAAACTAATCATAGAAAATAAACCAAAACAAACCACACTCCTTTCAAAAAGTAACAAAACCTCTCACTTCCCAAAACAAAATGACATTTCTTAATCATTCTTTCAACTGAGGACTTACTGCTTATATGCACATAGCGCACATCCCTTTAAAAATCACACGGCACGACAATGCATTTTAGTGGACTTTGCTGATTTTTTTTTTTTGGCCACCCTCAGCAACTTGTGGGATCTAAGTTCCCCAACCAGGGATTAAACCCAGACCCTAGTCAGGGAGTGTGGAGTCCTAATCACTGGACCGCCAGGAAATTAATTCCCTGTTGATTTATTTTTAAGGCTATTATTTGTAACTCCTCCAAAAGGCAAAACATACTGTCTTCTTCATTACCTTCTCACCTAAGAAAATGGCTGTTGATGTGGGGGAGAGACAGGAAAGAACAATGTAACTATCACCCTCCTATGAATGTGCCACCTGTACACTTCTGGGGAGAAAGTCCAAAGCAGTTAAGTCCAGTTTTCAATTTGTCTAACGTCTTTGATGAAGGTAAGATATGAATGTGGAGGAAAGTTACCAATGGTTAACATCTGTAGAGGGTTTAATCTTTTGGAAAACACTTTCGTATTCATTTTTTTCCGGGCTTCATCACTTCTTGACTGGAACACACAGCAGGGATTATCAACATCCTGATGTTACAGGTTACTTTGCTAGGGTCCTACGGGAATGAAGGGTGAGTGAAATAAACTCATTCTGCCACTTGTGAATATGGTGAGGTACAGTCTATTTAAAACTATTCCAATAGGGGATCATAACTAGCAACAGGAGAAAGAAATTGTGCTCAACCTCGAATACAGCAAAGACACCTGGAAATTTATTATAGCCAACAAACAAGACGAGTGAGGGGGTTAGTGGATGAGAAATTAAGACAAAACATTAAGGATAGGAGGATACTTGCTTAAAGGCAGGTCCGAGGTCTTACATACTAACGGACTTTATATATAAACGAATCTGATCGCATAGGCAAGGTAACCAGATACTAAAGGTGCAAGGATGACTTAGCAGAATTCACGCTAATACGGGGCTCTGCCTGGCCAGATTCGAAGGCCTCAATGGAGGCCTAGGCGAGTAGAGGGCTGGGAGGAGCCTGACTAAAGTTTGGACAAGGAGAGAGAGACTGTCACCGACAACCCCGTTTCTCTTTATTACCCAATCCCCATGGATGAGAAGAGCTGGTAGGCAGCCGGGGTGGGGTGGGGTCGTTCTTTCTCCGAAACAGCAATGACGGGCGACCAAACATCAGTAGTCCAGGTTCGGCGACACCAGCAGAATGCGTGTCTGAACAACGTCCCTCGCACTGCTCGGGAGGTACCCACACGCTCCGCCCGTCCGCCGCGCGTCCCACTTGAGGGGCGGGCTCCGCAGGTCGGGACTGGAGGCGCCGATTGGCTGACGCGCCCGAGCCGGGGTTTCCCGGCCCCGCCCCGTCGTCCCTCACTGGCCGCCCCGCCGCCGCCGCCGCGCTCCCTCAGCCCGCGAGGCCGCGCGCAGGCAGGTCCCGCGCTGCCCCGCGGGAGGGGCCTACCGGTCCCCATCCTTAAAGCACGAGTCCGGACGCCCCGCCTGTTGGAGAGGGCTCCTGGCTGTGGACAGCCAACAGCCGGGGCGGGCCAGGGCCGACCGAGGAGGGCCTGAGGCTACGGAGCCGCCGCGGCTGGCACACGAGCGTCTCGGCCCGGATCAAGTGGTTGCGGGAGCTGTGAGGGGAGGGGTCGTGGGCGCCATTGCTGCCCGTCAGAACGCCGCGGGGGTCCCCGTCAGCCCTAGCTGCTCTCCCCGGGCTGGGAGGAGCCGTCGCCAGTCCCCGGCCCGGTCTCCTGAATCGGGTGCCTCCTCTGCCATCCGTGCGGAGACCATGTTTGACAAGACGCGGCTGCCGTACGTGGCCCTCGATGTGCTCTGCGTGTTGCTGGGTACGTACGCGCCGCCGGGCCGAGGGGCGTGTGCGCGCGAGCCCGGGGTGGGGTGCATCGGTAGGGTGCGGGCGTGTGTCCGCTGGGAGGTGACTCGCCGGGAGTCGCGGCCGGGCGTGGGGGGTGTGTGCCTGACGCGCGAGCCTTGCCCGGCTAGACGCTGGGGGCGGCTTCCGCTGCCGGGGGACCCCGCTTCGCAGCCCGCATTCCCGCGTGGCCGCTGCTGTCAGTCTGCCTTTCTGTCGCCCGCCGGTGCGCTGAGCCCACCCTGCTTGGATGCTGTTCACGCCTCTGCGCTCCATCCCTTGCTCTCCTGTCCTCTGTTTCCAGTTTCACTCCCAGCAGAGAGGATGGGCTCCTCCCCTCTCTGCTGTAGGGAAGCCTGGTGGTCACTGGCTCATCAGGTTTGGTGACAAAACCGGAGGGTTTTGATGCACTGGGAATTCTCGGTAACTGGCGCCAGTGCCAGGTTTATCTTCCTTGTGGGAGGCAGTGTTAAGTTTTCGTCTATAAAAGGTTAGAACGCTCCTAATTAGAAGGTGTTACCGGCTTGTAAATTGTCGGGCTGTAGGTGGGTGTGATGATGCCAGGTTTCTGCCTATAGGTTTGAAGAAGCTTGCTTTTGAGAGGGATGGGATGGAGGTGGTGTGCCCCAGACCTGCTGTTTCCTTCTCTGCACAGACCTCGTCATCGTGTAGGTTTCCATCTCCTGTGAGAGCCCACGAGGAGCACTGGACATTTCTTTGGCTGCAGCGAATTTGGCGTTGTCTTTCTGACGGAAGAGTTCAGTCGTAGGGCTTCTGGTCGCCAGTTGCTCTTTTCTTTTGACGAAAAAGAGTCGAAGTCATCTGGATAAGGGCTAGGCATTGGAAGGAGAGATTTTCACCGTCTTCATATGTATTGTGTAAGGCAGTATCTTTGAACTATTTATATGTTTTGGAAAAAACTACTTACCAGAAGACCTGCTCGATGTTCAGGTAGTCGTCCTCATGTTTGAGTATCGAAGTAATGGTATTGGCGAGCTCTCAGCGTTGGAGAGCTGTGACTTTAGCATCCTAGACGCAGGCCTGCATAATGGCTTTTCGGTGATAGGAAACTTCCTCCGCTTTTAATCCAGTATCCCTTTCCCCTGCCTCAAACCTAACCATTTAGGTGCTTGTAGTCTTGCCGAAGTTGTATAAATTCTGTTATCTGTTTTTTGAGGAAAAATCTTGCTTATGAAACATCTTTATTGTTTACCAGGACATTTCCTATATAGCCCCACAGTGAATTTTAGGAATTCCGTTTAGGAAAGGGAAACACGATTTTGGAACACTATTTTTATAAAAACACAAGTGACCCTTTCAGATGTCCGGACTTATTCATAATTACATTAGGTATATTTAGATTTATTGGCAATGAAAAGTTTAACCTTGGTAAATATGTTATCTTTTTAAATGTATTTAAATTTAAATGCATTTAAATTAAATGTATTTAAATTTAAATGTATTTAAATGTATTTAAATGTGTTTGTGGAGCTTTGTTAAACTTCATTTATATTAGTGAGGGGAGAGGAAAATGTTCAGTCAGAAGTGATTTTTAAAATTCTAATATATTGGATATTAGCTTATCATTGCCACATACTGTACTGTCAGAATTATATATAAAGTTCCCATTTTTCCTACCTTGTACAGTTATTAATTTATGAAACAAACGCGTTTTCTCTTTGGGCCAAGCACTGAGCCAGGATAGATGAAACGTAATACTGCTCTCAGGTAGTTCAATGTTATTAAACACAGAGCCATATGCTAAATCTATGTTTTGTTTGTTTTAATTCATGTGTATTTGAAGAAACTATTTGCAGTACAACTTTATAAAATTGTGGGTTTTTGTAGTCTATTTTCAACATGCTGGAAGCATCACGTAACTATCCAATAGAATTAAGAGTAATTTTATTGCTAACTTGGCCTGACAGTTGTAGAATTTGTGATGACTTTCAAAAAAGATAAAATTGTTATTTTTGATTTTAAAATCTTTGGTTATGGAAAAAGCTTGTTTAGGAGACTTATGCATTAAGTATCAGTATCAGATCTATTTGAGAAGTACCTGATCTATTTGAAAAACATTTTATCTGTTTTTGTATTGTTAGAGTTTTAAAATAATTCATTGTATTGTCAAGATAAGCTCAGAATTCCCTTTTCATAAATAGAAAGTGAAATACTGGCTTATTTTAATTTGGTATATAAGATGAAATTAGATTTAATAGCATCAATATTCTGTTACAAACAACAGTGAAGGAGAACAGTGATGCTAGAGATAAAAAGTATTTTCATGCGGAGTTTTGGGAGATTATATGTTTTTATTAAAAAACTCACCTTTCTATTGGGGTCTATGAGTCATTTTTATTTTATTTATTTTTAAACTTTATGGCTGAGCTGCACAGCATGCAGTATCTTAGTTCCCCAACCAGGGGTTTAACCTATACCCCTTGCAGTGGAAGCACAGAGTCTTAACACTGCACTGCCAAAAGGTACCCTTTAAGGGTCATTTAAAGTTTTATTTTTATTCATCTTACTGACAGCAGGAGGTTGGCAGCCTTTAAAATAGTGGTAGCTCAAAGAGGGTTATCAACTTGGTATTAACTTTTTTCTTTTTCTTTGGAGAACTACAGGTAAAAGTTGACTATAGCAACAGAAAGATGATTAAGCAGACCATAAGTACAGGGTTATGTGAAAGTGGTTCTTAATTATAATGTGAATATGTTCCAGGTTCTGTTAATGATCACCCAACATCATGCAGTGTATCCATTTAATATGATGATGTTATGTGATTGTGTTACATGGCTACTTTATAATATTACAGAAAGTGATGTCAGCTTAAATGATAAACATGCCTGTATGTAAGGGCGCGGGTGTGTGAATGCTTACACACGTGTAAAAGCATTTCTATCCCAAGTCAATATTATCACTATTATGAAACATGATTTCCTCCATATAATATACCCAAATTATTACTTCCTTCAGTGGATCTGGTCTTTTCTTGGAAAAAGAGTGAGAATTTTGAGAGATGATATGTATTTGATTCCTTTCTGAGATGGAGTGTGGTCTTGCCAACTTTCTCTGGCTCCTTTGATAATGAGTTCTATGATTGTAGAAAAGGCCATAAATACCACCTGAGCACACAAGAAAAGCTGCTGTACAGAGAATCATAGTAGGCTGATGTGAAAGCTGTGTTTTGCTTATTGTGTTAAACCATGTCCTAAATAAAACTTAATTGCTGAGAGTCATTTTAGATTTTATGCACTCTGGCATTAGGCTGCCAATGAATTGATTCAATGTACATTGATTGGAGGCTAACTCTGTTCCAAGTTATGTTAGGTGCTAAAGATAAAGATGAATTAGAAAGTCTGTGCCCTCAAGGAGCTTAGGGTCTAATGAGGGAGAAACAAGGAAGAGGTTGTAATACATCATGATAAATGTAATAATAAAGGTATGGAATAGATGCTCTTTGAGTACAGAAAAAAGAGTTGTGCTATAAATGATCTATCATAGATAAATGGGTTGTCTGTTTTTGTTTAGAGATGCAGAAATGACAAATGTTACCCCAGGAGTACTCTTAGAATCTTTTTTTTTTTTTTCTCTCAGTTCAGTACAGGGCAATGGGAACCCAAGTAAGTACCTGTGTGTATGACTTTTTTGCAAGTATCGCGTGATGCCTGGAAGATTTAGGTGGAACTGGCAGAACCTTTTTATGTCCTGAATTTTGCTGGGTAACGGTCATTTGGAATATCTTTCTGTGTTGTACATTCTTCTTTTGCTCCTCTAGAACCTTTCTCCAGCCTGCGCTATGCTCTGGGAGGCTAGCGCTGTGGACTGCAACTAGGCTGTTGCTTTTTGTTTCTGGTTGACTGACCAGTGGGACAACAGCAGGAGGCCTGGAAGAGCCAGTTTCTTCCTGCTGGATTTGTGTTGCCAGAGCTATTTTGTGTTCTGTGAGTAGGTCACAGCTTCTATTCAGTGGCCCTCTGTGCCAGCCAGCTACAGTTACAGACCTTCCTGGGTTTTGGTAACCCTTTACTTGCCCCTTTAGCTTAGAGATGATAATGGCTTCCTGATGTTGCTGGTACCATTCCCTGCTGCTTTCCCTAAATCCTGCCTATACCTGTGAAGGTGGTTCCTTCATTAAATTCTTATTTAAATACCTTATTTGGGTGTGCTGTTTTTTGCCAGGGCCCTACTTATAATACTCATGTTATGTCCAAAACAGATCTGAGGTGACTTCCCTTTCTGCACTTGACAGCAATACACTGGCCCATAAAAGCAGATGGTAACAGGAACTCATGGGCTCCACCATTGGTTTTCTTAGAAGGGAGGTTTGGTTTCCTCAACATACTGCAAACATGGTATGACCTTTATGCCAAATCAGAGTCAATAAATTTAGGGGAAAATCTGGCAGCAAAGAACACTAGAAGCCATACTAGGTGGTTGTGTGTGCGTTCTAAGTTGCTTTCGTCGTGTCCAACTCTTGGCTACTCTAATGGACTATAGCCTGCCAGGCTCTCTGTCCATTCAGGTTCTCCAGGCCAGAATACTGGAGTGGGTTGCCATGCCCTCCTCCAGGGGATCTTCCTGACTCAGAGATTAAACCCGAGTCTCTTATGTCTCCTGCAATGGCAGGTAGGTTCTTTAACACTAGTGCCACTTGGGAAGCCCCGGGTGATTGTGGAATCCCGTTACTTACTCTGTTTCAGTAATTATACTGACCTCATTCTGCCCCTCAAGTATTACCACAAGGAGTGCTCCTTTTCCTGATCTCAGTTTGGGCCATTTTCTTTTTTTTTTTTTTTTTGCAGTTTTTTTTTTCATTTATTTTTATTAGTTGGAGGCTAATTACTTCACAACATTTCAGTGGGTTTTGTCATACATTGACATGAATCAGCCATGGAGTTACATGTATTCCCCATCCCGATTCCCCCTCCCACCTCCTTCTCCACCCGATTCCTCTGGGTCTTCCCAGTGATA